GCGGAATAGGGAAGCTGTCTCTAAAAAAAATAAAAAAATTCACCCTTCTCCCCTTTCGCCCTAGGGCCTACTGTAGGAATAGCATACCCGTGGCCACAGTTCCACTAGCACACGAGTCATCGCCTATTCCGATCTGTGCGGCACTGTAAGAAAAGGAAGAAAAGTAATTTTAAAGACTTAAAAAAAAGAAAAATGGCGACGTTACATTTCCCAAGATTGGACGGAGGCCGACTTTTGAAAGTGCTGCCGTCCCACTAACCCTCCCGTCTCCTCCCCCTGCTCCCCACCCAGCCAATGCCTAATCATGACGGAGTGGTACGTGACTGTTGCAGTCTCGCGTACCACCGAGAGGTAGTCCCTTCGTGTGCCTGATGGGACTCCCTTCTCTGACGGTTGCCATGCTGAAGCGTGCATTTCGTATATTTTGAGAGAAAATTGAAGTAATGGACGGGGTTAACAATTGACCGGGAAAAAGAAGGAGGTGAAAAACATGCTCTTCGAGTACTTGATTTTTTTTCATCTTTTGAAGAGCTGCCAATCAAAATGAGTCTTTCTATTTTCTTTTCCCGCCTCCCATTCTTGGGAACTGGAAAGAAAAAACACAACCCCCACCCAGAAAAACACCCCTTCAGAATATAAATCGCTCGCAATTTCTCTGCTATCCGATTCTCCTGCATCAGTGGTCGGACGCTGTCCCGCAGATGTCCCAAAGGTGTTTGTGGGACACAGTTTACCTTACTCCTTTGCTAGTGGAACCGTGCTCCGTGAGACCTCTTTGATCAACTTCTCCCTTTTCCTCTCAAGGTTCGCCCCGGGTCCCCTGGTTACCCCAAAAAGCGAAACTGGGTAATGGTCCCAGATCCGGGACCATGTCCCACTACCTTCTTCCCGGAACATAATGCATTTAAAAAAATACAACGCATAGGGTGCGTTCTATTTGAATACAAGGCATACGCGTTCTATTCGAATAGCCCTAATTTCGAATACAACTCATATGCGTTCTATTCGAATAGACCTAATTTTGAATACAACGCATATGCGTTCTATTCGATTTGTTGTTTTAATTTGAAAACTCGAATACAACGCATATGTGCTATGTTCGGGGGAAGAAGGTAGCTCGGTTGAGCTAGGTCAATGGTTGTGATTGTAGGCGACCACAGAGATGCACGTAGTCCGAGTGATCAAGCCATCCGTTTTTAATAAAGAAGGCAATAGAGACCACCATCCCTTTCTTTTTTTTTTTTTAACCGTCCTAAAGTCGCATAGCGTTAACGCTACGCAATTTTAGGAAACGTACGGGCCACTACAGAAGCGCCCAAATTCATCCGACTAGAAACGTTTCTACTCTATTTTTTTTCCGCGGCCGATAGCTGGGCCAAGTACTGGTGGTTTAAGGGACAAGGCTCCAATCTATTCGTGGGGAGCAGCACGTGCTGGGAACCGGGCGCAGCGTCCCATATAGAAATTTTTACATAGAAGTTTGAAAGTTTGAGAAACCGAGACCATGACGTCCCTTTTTCTTACGACAAATAGCATAAGCAAATCCTTTTTCTTGAATACTACAATCCCTACGCTCGCCACTTTCCGTTGAGTTAGCAGTCTCATTTAGCTCTCTCCTTTTTTCTTTTGAGGGGAAACTACGGGGGAGTCACAAAAGTGAGTTATAATTGCACTACTACGGGCCAAGATACCGTTTCGAATTGCAGTTCGGGCAA